CGAAGAGGAAATTCCGAGCAGATTTTGGTCTTCAATCTTCCAAGAAGAGGCCCTGTCCGGTGGACAGGGAATTTTTTGGGGAAAACCAATAAAGGTGGCGGTAAGCTAGGAGGAAATTAGGGAATTATTTTCCTAATCCCTCGAGTCAGATTTTGGAAATTAATTGGAGAGCTTGGGCTTGAGGATATACGGCTACTATGAGGTAGGAATTCTGAATTTAATTCCAAAGGAGAATGCGGGGGAGTTCGGCAGCAGAAAACAGAGCACTTAATTTACAGTTATTTGAGGGATTTTTCTTTTGAATTTGGGAGGGAAAATCTTGAACTTAACATTCCTTCCAAGTCAAAAGCTTGGTGGATTAGGAAAGGAATTAGAAAAATTATGAGGGGAGTTTGGACGGCTAGCTAATCAATAACTTTCAATTAGGATTGGAAGCTAACGGGAATGGGCTCTTTATTTCCTAATAGAAAGGGGCTGAGCAGCTCACGGATTGGAAAGAATTGGGGGAATTCATTCCAATCCCAAATCAGATTTAGAAGGGGTTTCACGGTGGATAGATAAGGATTAAATGGTGCTTTAATTCCTGAGATTTTGGGGAATTCTCAGATTTGGGGAATTCTTTCCAAAGAGGCTGGAGTAATGATGAGAGGGGGGCGGGCTATGTAGAGAAAAAGGGGAAAGAATTAAGTCTATTTCCAAAAGTTGAAATTACCTTTTGGAAACAAATTAAATAAGCAAGATGTGGGAAAAGTTCGTCAAGAGGATTTGGGGTAGATTTAATAGGCAGGAGGCTTAGGTTAAATAATCAATTAGATTCAATTTGAATTTGAAATTCGAAATTTTGAATTGATTGAAAGAACTTTCCTAAAAATAGACTCATTAAATTTGGAAGATTTTGAAATTCTCATTTAGCAATTTTGATTTTTAAATCTAATCCGCATTCAATTTATCTAAAATAGGAACAAACTTGGATGGGGAAGGAGAGATTGACGGCGGCTAGTGGGAGGTTGGTTCGGCGGGCATTGAGGGGTGTTGACCGTGGGTGATTTGGATGAAGGATGAAGCTCGGATGGGGTTGAGATCCGGCGCTATGGGGTGAGGATTTTAGTGGATGTTATTGTGGGGGAAGAGTGGGGAAATTTGGTGGATGAATTGGATGTGACGACGAAGATAAGGAGGGTGTGAGTGAAGACGAAATATAAACGAGAAAACCAGAATCCGGCGCGTTCCAAAGGTTGGTGGTGATACGATTTTTCTTCCAAGGGAATCTCAAATCATGAGCCGCGACCATCCTGCGGGCTGGTTGAAGACTTCGATTCCTCTCATAGGAATCCCACTACGCCCTCTCCAAGAAGAACACAATGTGAAAATAATTTTTTCACTTAATCATCTCCATTACAATAGTTAAGAGCCATTAATTTATAGGCATAACATGAGAAAATAGAAAATTAAAAAATGCCGTTGGGCCAAC